TCGTCCTAACAACTCACACCTTCAGAAGTCAAGTTATCTTTTTTATCTTGTTCCCAAGGGAGAGAGAGAGAGAGAGAGAGAGAGAGAGACTAAATCTTTTCGATTTCGTTTTGTAAACAATTAATCGCCGTTCCTTTAATTCTTGGTTAAGTAATTCATTATATTTTATCTATAATTGACCCATTTAACACCAACACAGCTCCCCCCAAAAATCCCTAATTCTGAGTTTTTGTCCCATAATTCCCTCCTGAACCACTCTAACCGAGGCTCAGTTGTTTGGGGGATTGATGGAGCCCCAGAAGAAAGACGGAACAAGAGAGTGTGGGATTGAGAAGTCTTTGGGGAGGAGGTGGATGGACGAGGGCCATTGAGGTGGTAATTTATGGTGTATATGAAGTGCATTGTAGGCAAGGTATTGGTAAGAGAGATTTATGGGGTAAGGCTGGAGATGAGAGAGAGAGAGAGAGAGAGAGAGAGAGAGAGAGAGAGAGAGAGAGAGAGAGAGAGAGGTGGTATAGGTGAATTTATGCTACGGAGTGTGTGATGGTGAGTGTTAGTGAGTGTGTTAGTGAGTGTGTTGGTGAGTGTGTTGGTGAGTGTGTTGGTGAGTGTGTTGGTGAGTGTGATAATGAGTGTCTAACCTACAGTACATATTTTCTAACTTTTATGAATTTTCATCATAACTAACAGATCATATAGGAATATATAACAACACATACAATTATTTACAGGATATAGCAGCAAAGTTATCCCCAACTCTCTCCCCTCTCCCTCATCCCCACCCCTCCCTCTCCTGCCCCCCCCTCTCCTGCACCCCTCTCTCTCCCTGCCCCTCTCCCTCCTCCCCTGCACCCCTCCTCCTGCACCCTCTCCCTCTCCTGCTCCCCCACCTCCTCCCTGCCTCCCTCTCCTCCCTGCCTCCCACTTGCAACACCACATTTTGAGTCCCCAATTTTAAATAATATATATGTAGGTCAGTGCAGACACCACTCAGACTTTACTCTCTCCCTTCCCCTCCCTTCCTTCCTCTCTCTCTCTCCCTGTTCTTCCCTTCCCTCCCTTCCTTCTCTCTCCTGTTCCTTCCTTCCTCCCCGTCCTTCCTTCCCTTCCTTCCTTCCCCTTCCTTCCTTCCTTCCTTCTTCCTTCCTTCCTTTCCTCCCCCCTCCTCCCTCCCTCTCCCTCCCTGAGACGCAGTAGGGCTAGCAATCATTCCTTTAGGGCCAGTATCTTGAACCATACTAGACCATAGGACATAGCACCTGGGGTCTATTGAACACACTGACCCACACACCTGCAGAAACCACCCTGGCACACACACAGACACACACACACACACACACACACACACACACACACACACACACACACACACACCCACACATACACACACACACACACACACACACACACACACACACACACATACACACACACACACACACACACACACACACACCCACACCCACACACACACACACACACAGAAATAATCAACATTGGTATTAACTCTCTGGTATAATGTACGATTCACTGTCATTGAATATTTTAAGTATTACACCAAATATGAATCAATACGTGTTTGATAGTATGTTAATTATGATCCAGGTACGACGTGTTAACTAGATGTGTATGTGTTAATACCTGTGTACATATTATGGGAGGATATAGTTGATATTAATGGTGATAATGATTATGATCTTGATAATAATGGTGATAAGGCTGATGGTAATGGTTGCTAGTAATGATGATGATGATGATGATGATGATGATGACTGAGATTCAAGTCACCGTATTTACAATGGGACGAATATTCTAACCCCTAGAGGAAGCACACCAGAACCACAGCATCCTTCCCTGCAGCAGCAACAAGAGGATTGCCAGCATCAGAGGCAACAGGAGAGGTACTGATCTTTGAAGTAGCATCAGCAAGGGAGCAGCAGAAGAAGTGAAGGGAAACCATCAGAAGAGACAGAAACAGTAACAGAAGAGGCAGCAACAGTAGGAGAGACGGCAGCAGCAGTAAGGGAGCAGGAGAAGAAGCAGCAACAGTAATAGCAGGAGAGGCAGTAACAACAGGAGAGACAGTAATAACAGAAGAGGCAGTAACAGCATGAGAGACGGTAACAGCAAGAGAGACAGCAACAGCAGGAGAGACGGCGTGTTCCGAGGCAGAGTTGGGTAAGCACTTTGTAAAATTAGATCATGTGTCACACCACAGCCCGGGGAGGACTTACACCCAACCTACACACTTTATGGTTCACTACACCCGCCCTCTGTGGGGGTGTGGGGGTGGGGGCATGAGGTGTGTGAGGGTGGTGGAGGTGGGAGGTGGGGAGGAGGTGGAGGGTTTTGGGGTTGCATGAAGAACTAAAAGGAAAAGTTAGATATCGGAGTGAGGATGAGACAGTCAGAAATGTGGGGAGAGGCAGAGGGAAGGGAGAGGGAGGAGGGAGAGTGAGGGGATGAGTGAGAGAATGAGGGTACGAGGAGGGAGAATGAGGAGAGCGAGGAGGTAGAATGAGGGGACGAATGAGGGAAAAGAGTAAGGAGAGGAAGAATGAGGAAGGAGAAGAGGGAAGAAAACATACAAAAGAGACTGAACACAATACCTAGTTTCCTGCACCTTAACAAAAACATCATCGTCAAAGCACAGGCAGTAAAAACAAACAGCTCAAGGATCCACTGTATCCTACAACAAATAATCATGATATTGTTACCTCTCATTCACGACACGAGCGCCTCTGTGTGTGTGTGTGTGTGTGTGTGTGTGTGTGTGTGTGTGTGTGTGTGTGTGTGTGTGTGTGTGTGTGTGTGTGTGTGTGTGTGTATGTGTGTCTGTGTGTGTGTGTGTGTTTCTGTTTGTCTGTGTGTGTGTGTGTGTGTGTGTGTGTGTGTGTTTCTGTTTGTCTGTGTGTGTGTGTGTGTGTGTGTGTGTGTGTGTGTGTTTCTGTGTGTGTGTGTGTGTGTGTGTGTGTGTGTGTGTTTCTGTGTGTGTGTGTGTGTGTGTGTGTGTGTGTGTGTTTCTGTTTGTCTGTGTGTGTGTGTGTGTGTGTGTGTGTGAACTATGGCGGTAATAATTGATGCCCCCACTCAGGCGTAAGGTGTTTTTATGCTAATCACCGGATCACTGCCAACCATCATATATTTTCATTATACAGTAGTTATCAATTAGCCAATCCTCCCACATTGTGAAATTTAAATGACAAACTATAAGCATTTCCCATTTAACATTATCGGCCTCGTTCAGTCAGTGTTTCGTTCAGTCAGTGTTTCGTTCAGTCAGTGTTTCGTTCAGTCAGTGTTTCGTTCAGTCAGTGTTTCGTTCAGTATACCGAGACGAGAACCCAACCTGGAATTACTATTACAGGTTGTACTCAGTGTTGATATAGCATTAAGGGTCAACGTTATATCCAAGACCTACATTATATACGTTTACATTATTAGCAACGTCTACTAACATTAGCAACATCAATCAACATCAACATAGCAGTTATTGGGTCGCAGATGTTAAGGTTTATCAACATCCAGACAGACATTCCAACAGACAAACAGACTTAAGCTATAATACAACGCGTTTTTTTTAATTTATTTTAAAAGTGTGGAATAAAAATCAAAGAAAAACTACATCCAGGAAACGATACAACATTAAGAAAAAATAATGAAACACACACACACACACACACACACACACACACACACACACACACACACACACACACACACACACACACACACACACACACGTCACCCAGAAGAAAATTTCATGGCATATTTATCAAGTTAATTAATATATGAAGTGACTGGCCCACCTGTAATTACTCAGGATGTGGACAAATGCTGGAAGTGGTGCCTCATATTCACAGGTAAGTAACATGAACACTTTATGAGTTTTATGATCTCTAATATCTTTAAAAGTCTATTGAATTTCGTATGGTAAAGTGGCAATGTTACTACAACTACTGTTTCTATTGCTATTGCTGCTATAATAATAATAATAATAATAATAATAATAATAATAATAATAATAATAATAATAATAATAATAATAATAATAATAATAATAATAATAATAATAATAATAATAATAATAATAATAATAATAATAATAATAATAATAATAATAATAATAATGAATCAAACTTATTATTATTATTTATACTTCTATTTCTCGATATTTTACATATATAAGTCAGGTGTGTTCTGATTGCAACGCGCCATTTTTAATTACAACTGTTATGAGTATTATAATTGTTTTTATAAGTATCATAAATACAATTTGGACAGATTATTACTTTCAAACTTCACAGAGAACACTGAGAACCACTAGTAAACAAAATGACATCGACCCAACATGACTTCCTTCTATACCACAGATACACTTCCTATAACTTCCCAATGGCTATCACTTCAGAGTATCCGTCCAGGTTTTACTGCTTCTCCATGACCGTCATAAAATATCAGAGGGGGCCACAAGTTGGTCTCTAGTCTGTACTCTTAAAGCGGCTGGTTTTTTTTTCATTCCAGTTTGTTTTCGGTGAGTGTTTTGACGTGTTTGTTTTGCCGTTGAGTTTTCGTGTATATAAAATTATCGATTATGCTAAGGTTACGTTAGGTTTGGTTAGGTTAGTTTGCCTGTGTTTTAATGATCGTTTCAGTGACTTTAACGAGCATAAGGAGACCAAGACTAGACAACCATTCAGGTATCGCGCCAAAATTTCTAAAAGAAAAGTGGTCGTGATTTTGGTTAACAGAAAACGGTGATTATTGGTCACATCTACATTAGTGACATAAAACTGTAAGTCGACTCATTCTTCTTCGTAAACTAAATGGCAATCCAAATAAAATATCCACGTTAGTTAAGCTGTACTTCACGTAGGATAAGTATATAGAGAACACGAGTGGAATCATACTTCTTCAGTCTCCCCTAAACAGGTTGATGGACTTTACAGTTTGTTTCTATATTTACAAACACAAACAAACCACGAACAGCTGACCAACAACTACATCTGAAAACAAGAATATACAAATATTCTCATATATGGTACATTACCTTTCATGATGTACACCACAGTCGTCCCGGAGTGTTCAGAGGAGCACCGTAACACAGCCAGAGCACCGAGTTTCGTGGGCGTGTCTGGGAGTGGTGAGGACGAGGGCAGCTGTGTTGATGGGTGGAGTGAGCTTGTTAATAGAGGTCCTTGGTGAGGCGGTGGTACTCGAGGGCGTGATGGTGAAGCTTGAGGGCGTGGTGGTGAAGCTTGAGGGCGTGGTGATGGTATTTCTGAGCGTGGTGATGCTGTGGGTTGACGTTTTGGTGACACGGGGAGGGGTGAGGGCGCTGGGGGTCCCATAGAAGCAAGGAGTGTTGTGGGTGTAGGAGAAGATAAGGGCCGTGGGGCAGTTGACGACAGGCTTAAGAGAGGACGTGTAGAGGATGGGTCGAGGGAGGAGGAGGCGGCTGGAGGAGGAGGCTCGAGTGAGAGGGAGAGAGGGGAGGAGGACAGACGCCTGGAGCCTGGAGGAAAGGTGGAGGTAAGAGAGGAGGGGAAAATAGGAGTGAAGTGAGCATGGTGTGAGGTTGGGGTGATGGAGGAAGGGGAGGTGGAGGTGAGGAAGGTTGATGAGGCGAAGGACTGGCTGGGAACGTCCTTATGAGGCAGGATTGAAAGCGATTTGTTCAGAATACCGAAGGAAACACGAGAAGATGAACGGGAACTGGAGGTATGAAGGGAGGTAGGGATGGAGGAGGTGAGAGTTGGTGAGGATGGCTGAGAGAGGCGGTGTCCTGGCCTCACCCACACCACCATCTGGCCGCCCTCCACACGGTAGCTGCAACACAACACATCAATGAACAACTTGCAACATCATACTTGTACTAAAACGAAGACATTATTTATACTACATTAGGATATTAAATTAGCAACAAGGTCACCAAGCTGAGAATATTACATGTTACATCATCCCCCACTGAGGAATCTTACTACACCTAACTAGTTCACTTAGACAATAACACAACTATTCCAGATAAATTGCAGAAAGACTATTGAAGGTGGCAGAGCTGTCATCCATAGTTAGGAGGATCAATAATCTGAAAGCTAATGAATAAGTAATGTTATAAAGATTGATTGTAAAGTAGATACCTGTGATATACTTAATACTTTAAATGCTGATCTATTATACAGGTGTGTGTGTGTAAGTCAATCAAACGTAATTATTGTAAAGTGAACAGCCCGGTACTAACACATCATAAGCTAACACGTCATAAGCTAACACTTCATAAAACCAACACGTCATAAGCTAACACGTCATAAAACCAAAACGTCATAAGCTATCACGTCATAAAACCAAAACGTCATAAGCTATCACGTCATAAACCAACACGTCATAAGCTAACACGTCATAAAACCAAAACGTCATAAGCTAACACGTCATAAAACCAAAACGTCATAAGCTATCACGTCATAAACCAAAACGTCATAAGCTAACACTTCATAAAACCAACACGTCATAAGCTAACACGTCATAAAACCAAAACGTCATAAGCTATCACGTCATAAGCTAATACGTCATAAGCTCCCACTAAGAGAGAAAAAACACACACAAACACACAAACACAGCCTCACTCTCCCTCACAGTAAACGTGATGAGGGACACCAAGAGGGAAGGTGACAACGTACATAACATCTTAGACTCTCCAGCACCTGTCTCCCACAGCCACTCAACTCCTCGGGTGTAGTTGGAGCTCCTGTCTGGTGTGAGGCGCTGGTAGGAACACTAGGAGGGGGAGGGTCACTCGTAGGGGGGAGGAGCACTATCAAGGGGGACGGACACCAGCAGGAGGGAAGGGATGGGGTTGAAGGACGGGGGAGGATGGTGGGAGGGAAGGAAGTGGTTGTGAGGAAGGGGTCATTGTTGTATTAGATTGACAGTATTATTTTGTTGTATTTCCACCACAAAAAGTCCTCCACAACCAATCAATCACGAGATCCATCAAATTAAACACAAAATCAATCACCAAACAACCACGAACTGGCCCCTTCGACGCTGCAGACCAACAATATCAACAACCATTCCTTTAAGAAAATCTGCCCCAGGATTAATGATTCTTTTAGGAGAGTTTGGATATCGATCTAATCACTCTAATAAAATATAATTCCCTGATTAACTTACATAATACTGGAGTTATAAATAGTAAGAAAGACTGAGAATATAATCTATAACCTCAACGTTTACCTGGGGATATTAACACACCTTTACCTTTAGTTATTAATCGCCTCACTAGATGTTATAAAGGAAGGGGCGCTAATATATGATGTTTGTTTGTTTGTCTGTCACAGGATTTAGAGGCGGACTTGGCAGGTATTATACAACCCGTGTATACATGCCGGAGACACTAATTAACGCATGTAAATATCTCATAACTGAAGTAGGGGGCTAGGAGGAGTAGGGGGAGGGAGGGAAGGTAATTAAACGAGGTTGATGAAGAAAATCATAAATTATCATCAGACTGCAGTAATTACTGAGACATTGCTAATGGTATGACTATAAGACACAACATCCGGCCTAAACTAAACCTATAAGGACTCGAAGGATCTGGTAGGATTTATGAGCCTGGTGGTAAAATATCCTCCTGTGGGATACTTAGGATTTTTCTCTGGATATATGTCCGAAAATGAATCAGTATGTATGTATGTATGTATGTATGTATGTATGTATGTATGTATGTATCAGAACCTACCACCACACCAAGTTTAGGAAAAACAACTTTGGCAAACCACACACACACACACACACACACACACACACACACACACACACACACACACACACACACACACACACACACACACACACATATTAAAAAAAAGTGTCCGCTTCGCCTCTAAACCGCATTACTTTTCCAGCGGCTCAGCAAAAACTGTTCCATATATCAGGCAGACTGGTGGGTGAGCTCAGACAAACACTGGGACCAAGCCACAGAGCCGAGAAAAACCAGGATAAAACTTTGACTTTTGCTGAGATATTTACCTTCATGGTGTCATAAAGTGTATTTAATCTGTGTGTGTGAATGGGGTTATACAGCGCCACTTGACACCTTTATATATTACCACTTAACGCCTGAACACATCACCACTTGACACCTGAACACATCACCATTTGACACCTGAACACATCACCACTTAACACCTGAACACATCACCACTTGACATATGAACACATCACCACTTGACACCTGAACACATCACCACTTGACACCTGAACACATCACCACCTGACACCTGAACACATCACCACCTGACACCTGAACACATCACCACCTGACACCTGAACACATCACCACCTGACACCTGAACACATCACCACCTGACACTCAACAGATCTTAACTCATAAATTGTTTACCTCAACTTACTGATAACGTTAAGCTATGGCTGATAACATTACCAAAACTTATCTGCTGTTTATAATTACAAATGTCTTTATGTGTGTTTCCGGGATTGTGTTGTTGTGTGTTTCTCTCCCTGACTGAAATGGCAACACTGAAATAAGAGTAATGGTTGGCGTAAGTCAGTGTTCCAAGTGTTCCATTAATAAAATCGAAAAAAAACACGTCTAATTCCCTATCCCACTTCCTCCTCCACCACCCCCTCTTTCACCTCTTCCACTATCCTCACCCCCACCTCCATCCTACCACCATCCCCACCTATTCCTCCACCATCCTCCCCTATCCCCACCACCTCATCCACCACCCTCCCCATTCCCTACCTATCAGGCCGTCACGCTAAGTAACATGTTAACGAGGTGATTAGCGGGCAGACGGTGAGGCAGATCGTCCACATGAAAGCAATTATACCATACGCAGATAACTTTATATAATCATCTACCTTTAATTAAGGCGTATCATTACCTGGCCTCACTATTTACCTAAAGTCATGAGAACAAACATGGTCACCTGAACAAATACGTGGATAATATTCTTGTAGGTATTTTTTTGTTATTCATTTTAGGAGATCACGTGAAGATTAGGCACCCAAGATTACTTCAATTTAAGATTAACTACCCTACCCTACCCTACCTTACCCAACCTTACCCTACCCTACCCTACCCTACCCTACCCTACCCACTATTTAGGAACGCTTACACCACTCCTACCTACGGTGTTGCTATATACAGTACAAACAATACGATCCATTCAGTAATTACAAAGACAACATTCAACGACCTGTTCTCACCACTGAACCGTAAATGTAATCTCCTAGACACACTTTTCTTAATCGGTTCATCATCATCATCTCCTGCTCCCCTGCTTCACTCCCACCTCCAAGGACCTCTAGCCACCCCCCAGCCCCTACTAGTAATGGTGAGCAATAAACTGTGCCATCCGCATCAGTTTGTTCTACCTACAGCAACGAGAACCATTTGCAAGAAGACTAAGAATGGAGTCGACTAGTTCAACATTTCATCATCATGTCGGTAGTGATTCTTGCTACTTTAATCAGCCAGTAGCTAACATGTGCTCTAGTATTGGGAGTAACTAACTGTGATATACTGTACAGGTGCGGGACCCAGAGTCATTAATGTATGTGTATTGAAAACTGTATAACCATGAGACGTCAAGGCCCCAGGCTCCCCCTCCCCCGGCATACAACTCCAGTATTGAAAATCACTTTCCCATAATCACCGTGACGTGAAACTCGGGAGTAGAGGAATTAAAGGCTTGTCAATCTAATGGTGATTTTTTTTCGGTGTGCGTATTGAGATAATAATAAGGAAATAGAGTGAGTTTTACATAATAACATTCACTTTGCTTTTGGTTACGTTCACTAAAACAACATGAAGGATTGACTCACCTGAGGCTTGGATGAAGGTGGTCCAGGTACCAGGTAGGTTCAGTGCCCACGTTCTCAGGTGTACGCTGTAATATCCGAGTGTGTTGTTGTATTTCCAGTGAAGTTAACTTGATCGAGACCGTATCAGCTGCACTTGTTGGACGGCGATGTGTCTTTATGAGTTCCCACAACATGCTAGTTCCTCCTTTCTTGTTCTCTCTATCACCTTCTGTTTCTTCTCTAACTCCAATTTCTTGTTTTTCTTCTACATTAGTACTGGCTGTTACTTCTGTTATGTTAGGTTCATCATTTTTCATTTTTCCTGGCTCTTTCTTCCCGTCATTGTCTGTTTTTATGTCTTTGTTATCACCATCAGGAACACTGGCTGGTATATTCCCTAACTGTGATCGTCTATAACTCAGTGTCCCTGTGTCATCATCTCTCTCCACGATTTTATTTTCCCTATTCCTCTCTTTATCGTCTCTTCCTCTGTATTTCCTCTCTTCCATTACTCGTTGTTCCCCGGAGTGTGGTGATGGTGGTGGTGACTGCTGCATCCCCTGGGAGTGTGGTAATGAGTACAGGGAAGGTGAGCTGTGGGAGGGAGTGGAGTGAGAGTGTGTGGGAGACGGTGGAGGGCCAGGAGAGGGAGGGTGGTAGGGGCTGGGTGGTGCTACACACATCAGGCGCAGGAGTACGGGTGGTTCCTCGTCGCCAGCCTCCGCCAGCAGCACCTGGGTGGGGGACGCGCCATCACACACACCTGTGGAGAGAGAACATATTATTTATAACATATAGTTGTTGACGGTTGTTAATGACCCAACTAGTCACAACTACAAAACCAAAACGCACACTTTAACAACACAATCACAAATGAAGGAAAAACACATAAACTGACTAATATGGAAAACAAAAGAAATAACAATAATAATAACATGTTACCCTACGAGAAGAACATAAATAACATACCAAACACTGAAATATAATAACAAAACAGAGGATATAAATGATTTGTTCTTTATACTAAACATATGTCATTGTTCGCATCAAACACAAACACTTCAATTCATCAAGTATTATAAAGCGCGCTATAAAAATAAGGTATTTGATACATATTAATTAATATAAATACCCCAACAATAATGCTTTTATATTTGGAAATATTTCACAAGTCGTATCAAGCTCAAAGACTCCCAAACAAAAGACTCCCAAACAAAAGACTCCCAACACAAGACTCCCAACAAAAGACTCCCAAACAAAAGATTCCTAACAAAAGACTCCCAAGCAAAGACTCCCAAGCAAAGACTCCAAACAAAAGACTCCCAACACATTCCCAACAAAAGACTCCCAATTCATTTCATTAAGTATTTCTGTGACTATGAAACACAACAGATTATTTGAATGCAATTAAGAGCTGTCAGAACATCCAGGAGAATACGACTAACTGTGGAGTTTCTCAAGCCTGAACTAAGCCAATCAGGAGTTATACCATCCGTCGCCTTCATTAGCTCAGTCTAGTGTGAGATATTAAATCAACTAGGTCAATTATTTTCACGTGAATGAGTTATTAAACCTCTATTTTCTCTCTCTGATCTGTGTGACTCACTGAAATTTACCCTGTGTGTGTGTGTGTGTGTGTGTGTGTGTGGTGAGTGGGTGGGTGAGTGAGTGAGTGAGTGAGTGAGTACAGTGATCGACAGAGCAGCTTACTAAAGAAAAAAAAGGCCTCCGTTTAATGTATGTATTGAACATTTACCTCAAAGACCAATAAGATAGTCAACTTTACACACACACACACGCACACACACACACACTTCATTTACACAATCACAATATGTTTGAGTGATTGTGATCCCTATTAATGATGATAACGATGACTTTTACCCGTAGATCAACAGCACTTGACGCTAACATAAACACTGATATATTGAACCGCTAATATAATAATGAACGCTATTTCTCACGTCTCTGCAGCGGTTCTGTATATAATGATTTTGTAGTTTTATTATTTAGTTTACCACGACTGTCAGCTGCAAACAGTAGTCTAGGAGAACCAACCAACAGTAGCTTAGGAGAACCAACCAACAGTAGCCTAGGAGAACCAACCAACAGTAGCCTAGGAGAACCAACCAACAGTAGCCTCGGAGAACCAACCAACAGTAGCCTAGGAGAACCAACCAACAGTAGCCTAGGAGAACCAACCAATAGTAGCCTAGGAGAACCAACCAATAGTAGCCTAGGAGAACCAACCAACAGTAGCCTAGGTGAACCAACCAACAGTAGCCTAGGAGAACCAACCAATAGTAGCCTAGGAGAACCAACCAACAGTAGCCTAGGAGAACCAACCAACAGTAGCCTAGGAGAACCAACCAATAGTAGCCTAGGAGAACCAACCAACAGTAGCCAAGGAGAACCATCCAACAAAGACCTAACCTAACCCTCATTACAACACACATCATCAACAACATTACAACCTGGAAATAATCAAAGAAATACCACCTCTATGGCCAACTGCAGGTAATCATTAACCTTTCAACATTACAAACTCATAATTATCAACTAATTAGCTCCCGCCTCCCCCCATAAAAAAAATCCAACCATATGAGATAATTAGGTAAAAATAATTAGATAGTAGTTATAAGGAATAATTTATAACCTGGATTTAAAGATTACGTAAAAGGTAGATAGAGCGATAGAGATTTACATTGTGTGTGTGTGTGTGTGTGTGTGTGTGTGTGTGTGTGTGTGTGTGTGTGTGTGTGTGTGTGTGTTTTAGTATATGTATGAGGTATATATTTTTGTGGTGTTAGTAATGGAGGAGAGAGAGAGAGAGAGAGAGAGATCCTTTCTCCTCTGTTGTGTTTGTCTGTTCCCTAAGGTCACGACTCCCAATATTACAACCCGAAGGTATAATTGAATCAGCTATAAGACACGAAAACAAACCCTGTCTGTCTGTCTGTCTGTTTATCTATCTGTCTCTGTCTGTCTGTCTATATGTGATTAATTTTCGCCTTGAAATGGTCAATGCATCATATAAGATCCAATATATAAAGGAGTGATTATACAGGTTGAGAACCCCTTTACCCCTCTATCCCCCACCACTCTCGTCCCCATCCACTCGCCCATCCCCTACCAATCCAACCCACCCAACCCCCAGCCCCCACACCCACCCACCCACCCACCTACAGCCCCTTAACACCCCAAGGTTATGGACACAAGTGAACCGTTCACTCCAGTCACCCAGCTTCTTATTTACCAAAGGCAGAGGACCCAACAAGACCCCTGAAGGAGGAGGAGGAGGAAGAAGAAGAGAAGGAGGAGGAGGAGGGGGGGAGGAAGAGGGGGAGGCTCTAGGGGGTCTTCCCACGGGTCTTGAGGCGGTGGGTTCAGAGATGAGCTTTACAGATATGGCGAATAAAAGAAACTTGGAGAATCAGAAGATGGAGGTCGCCTTTCAGAGGGAGGTCCTCAATGGGTCAATAAGGCGATAGAAGGCAAGCCACGACTACCACCAGACCGGGAACTGGGCCGTGGGCGAGGGAGAGAAGGAGGGAGGGAGGGAGGGAGGGACGTTGAGGATAGGAGGAAGGGAAGTGGAGGGAGGGAGGGAGAAAGGAGGGAGGGAGGGAGGGAAGTTGAGGGAGGAAGGGAAGTGGAGGATGGGAGGGAGGAAGGGAAGTAGAGGGAGGGAGGGAGAAAGGAGGGAGTTGGAGGATGAGAAGAAGGGAAAATAGTAAACAAAACCAAAGCAAAAACCAAACAATAAACAAAAAAGTAAACAATAAAAAATAAACAACATTATCTGTGGTTGACAATAGGAAGTTTGTTTTAATCACGTTTTATTCATGTCATACAATCATTAATATATAAACACCTCGATATACATATACACATACATCATATACCTATACAGTATACATATTAACCCTGTCATTACTGTTTGATGGATATGTATATAATATTTTGGCACCTCTCACTTGACATGTGGATCAAAATTGCACCATCGTCATGAATATTTTGAGTGGGAGAGGAGCGTTGGTTCTGCTGCCGCCTTATACATTGATATGCACTTTTTGATACATTAATTATTCATTTATCAGGCTTAAATTTCGTAAGGACAAATTCTGATGTTTTGTTTTTAAAGATTTATTTGTTATGATAGAGTTTGATATTGTTGTTAAGGGTTTTTAAATGATGTTATTTTTTGTTTAATTATTTTCATTTAGTTTTAATTAGTTGGCGATATTGTATAATTAGCAATCTTACTCAGCTTTCTCACTCAATCAACCACCTCCCTCAATCACCCACCTACCTCAATCACCCACCTCCCTCAATCACCCACCTACCTCATTCACCCACCTCCCTCAATCAACCACCTCCCTCCATCAACCACCTACCTCAATCACCCACCCCCAATCACCCACCTCCCTCAATCAACCACCTCCCTCAATCACCCACCTACCTCATTCACCCACCTCCTCAATCAACCACCTCCTCCCATCCAACCACCCCACCAATCACCCACCTCCCTCAATCACCCACCTACCTCAATCACCCACCTCCCTCAATCAACCCACCTCAATCACCCACCTCCTCAATCACCCACCTCCCCAATCAACCACCTCCCTCAATCACCCACCTCCTCAATCACCCACCTCCTCAATCACCCACCTCCTCAATCACCCCACCTCCTCAATCCACCTCACCTCCCTCAATCACCCACCTACCTCAATCACCCACCTCCCTCAATCAACCACCTCGATCGCCGCAACCCCTTCCTTTAGAGGTAATAATTATCAATCAAAACAAATTCCATAATAAATAATTTTGGATCCACTGAAATCATTACACGAGGTCCTCACCATGAAGACTTAGGCCCTGAGCTGTTAGGTTTGTGGCAGCTGTTGTGTGTGGTGTTTTGGGGCCGTGGGTGGGGGAGGTGTTTTGGGGCCGTGGGTGGGGGAGGTGTTTTGGGGTTGTGGGTGGGGGAGGTGTTTTTGGGTGTGTTTCTGGGGCCGTGGGTGGGGGAGGTGGGGTTTGGATGGTGGGGGGGGGAGGGGGTAGGTGTTTCGGGGCCGTGGGTGGGGGAGAGGGGGGGCGGAAGTGGACAAAGACAGAACCAAAATAAAAACATTGATGACCTTTGTGTTGCTGACCAGTGTTGAGTGCTTACATAACAAACTCAATATGACAACAATGACTAAGAGAAATCCTACAAACAGCCACTCTTTTCCCCTCACTGGACGTAACTGAGTGAGTTTTTACACAAATTGATCAGGTTACAAATCTTCAACATATTTTAAAAGCCAAATTTCATGTCAGTGTAGCTGTAGGGAAGCAACCTCAGACAGGGTTGCCATGAGGGTGCCAAGCATTGCCATGAAGTGCCATGACCTCGACGTCTCAGGGTCACAGGGTCATCAGTAATGCTGGACACAATAATTATGTTTGCCGATAAAAATTATTACTATTATAGTTAATCTCATCCCGGGTCTGACAAAGACACACACACACACACACACACACTGCGTTCACTGACACTTTTGACCATCAAACAAAATCGCTCGGTAAATTTTGCCATTCAGTTGCACAATTTTGTGATGAATTATCAAGGCCAAATGATGAAAAAATTGTGAACAGAAACGAAATATTTTCCAAACTAAACAAAAATTGTTTAGCCATAGTGACTGTTGTCGTGTTGGCCTCCGTGTTCTGCTGGAGGCCGGTGTACGTCTCTCCCGTGAGATCATAAACATTAAAAAGTT